TTACCTTTGTAAAACAATTTATTTTATGTTAGATGAAAAATAAAGCTTAGTTTGAGGAAAGTCTTTATTTCACCAGACTAGTACACTTCTCTCTCAAGTGTGTCACACATTTTGAAAGAAATGAGCGGCTTTTGCCTCGCACAGCCTCTTAGCGGCGTCGCGGGTTGCGGACGGATGTTGCGAGCGTTCAGGATTGCTAACCCTAATCACTTTTCTCCGGAGATGAAAACGCGTGAAAATTCGGATCCTTCATACGGTACGCGCCAGTAATACCTTGAACTTGAGCACACGCATGAAATGCGTCAAATAAGAAATCCGGGCGATGTTCGAGGACACAAATGCTTAGAAATCACCACTGTAGTCGAAGTAAACAAACACGACGACACGGGCGTTTCTGCCGTCTTGAGAGCGCCGCCACGACATCGCCGCTCGAGTAGGTGGATCTTACCTTCCAGTACGTGCTGGGTTATCATAGCGACACACAACGAAAATTCACAGTCAAGGATAGCGCTTTTACGCGGAACGATGAGATGAACGCCGTCTACGACGACGTTCAAAACGTTGATCACAACCGACGCCATGTTCGCGGATAGAAGCAGCCGGCCCGCAACGGGCATGCAACGCGCGCGAACACTTCTCCTCGACCTGCTATTGGTCTGTCGTTACGGTTGTTGGTTTCCAACAGTGTTGCGGAATGGGCACCCCCATTCCATTCCAATTCCATTCCGGGGAATTAGAGTTTGCGATAATTCAATTCCTTTCAACTCCTAGGAATGGTGACACTGGGCCCATTCCCACTCCTGGAATGGCTGAACCGTTCCATTCCATTCCTCTCATTCTTAAACGTAAAAATTGGCACTTAACAGCTGCATTGCATTGCAGGGTTGGGCAGAAATAGTCAAAAATATATTTGAAAATGCAAATACTGGGATAGATGAAAATAGTAGCTAAAATACTGAAACTCAAATATATCTGTAAAAATGTATCGCGATACGTATCGGAAATACATTTTAAAAAGAGTCAAAAAGTCTTTGTAAAATTAGATACAGGAATACATTTTAGGGAGGGCAGAAATATTCATACTGATTATGCAATACATTTTTCAAATTTCTTTGAGACGCCGACTGAGATGAGGCTTTAAGTTTGAAGTGGAAGTTTTTTGTTTGTTTTTTTATCCCGAAATTATTTTCCCGCAGGCTTGGCGCTTCGCCTTAAAGGTATACTCGCTGTCAGCTTTGTGTCAATGCCATCAATGCTCGGGGAGAGGGTGCACCAACCGCCGTACACGCGCTTTCCTCCTCTCTTCGGATTGCCACAGAAAGTTGACCGCGAGTATAGTAGTTCCGGACGAAGAGGAATCTTCAATAGGTTCAAAAAACGTTCAATCAAGGATTGACCGCGGTCCCTTCCCTGGCATCTTGTTTGTCTGACCAGTGATGCGAAAAGACTTCGACCTCTAAATAAATTTCATCAAAACATCATCACTTCCCTGTCCAATAAGGACGCCCCTGTCAACACTGATCACATGATGTCACGGCGGAATGAGCTAGTATTCTTGTATTGGTAGGTGTTGCCTTGAACATGAAACTTTACTCACGCTGCTATGTGAAAGGACAGTATGTACTTTTGTTCTGAATTATCTCATTGAAGACCATGCAGGCAGTTGCATTTGGAATTTTCAAGAATAGGGTGGACCACCTTAAGCATCCTGGAGCAGACGTCTTATCTTCTGTTACGGTTGAAAAATTGATACGGTGGCATCCCTATTGTGACGGTCCGACCCGCCGACCTTCCGCCTCCAACGCCTGAATGGCAGTCATCAAGTTTCGGCTAGCATCATCCAAACAGAGACCCGTGGATTGCGACGTGATATCGCCCCGTACGGGTGCGAGCTCTCCGAAAAACAGCGCGCTCAAGACGAGTCGCAGGTGTACGAAGTCTGGGTCGGCACAGCGAGGCCACGTCTGGCCTTCTTCCTGGGTATCGGATCACCAGAGCAGCAGGTCACGTTCACGTCGACGGGTGACGTACCCTTGAGCCGTGCAACAGGCTCAGACGCATTCGGATTTCTGTTGAACTTCACTGGTGAAAGACGCCACCGCCGCCCCCTTCTCTCCCCCCTTTGTTGTTTGCTTTGACGCTTGTTTTTTGTATTGCGTTTATTTATTTAGTTTTTTTTTTTTTTTTGCGTATACGTCTGTTAGGGCTCCTTGCGGGTTTGCAGTTTCCCGCTCATTTTATTTCTGAACAACTGACTCGCTGACTAACTCGGTATCACTAAACGTAAAAAAAAAAGAAAAAATGAATAAAAAATATATAAAGAACCGGACCCCCCATTCCATTCCCATTCCATTCCGGGCAAAATGCATCTAATTCCATTCCCATTCCATTCCCCTCAACGTTGCCTCCATTCCATTCCCATTCCATTCCGGGGTCGTGAAAATGTGGAATGATTCCGGAATCATTCCAACTCCGGAGTGGCAACTCCGCAACACTGGTTTCCAACGCAGCGGAGGGACGCACGCACGTGAACGACAGGTGCGTGCGTCCCTCCGTCGCTAGGGCAACTGAAGCCTCTCTCTTCGCTCAACACCTCCTTCTCCCGCTTCTTCGAGCACCCTCCTTGCCCCGCGAGTGCCGCTTGCGCAACGCTTGCGGCTCGCGCCGTCAGCGCCGTTATCTAGTGTCGCACAGGCAAGCGTGCTCGCTGCTCCGGTCGTCGGCGCGGTCGGCGGGCTGTGCCAGAAACCGCACTATAACCGGTATTTCCCTTCGCGCGCCTGCGTTTTAAGCGATATGTAATTACATGGAGTTCTATGGGAGGCGAACCGGTGGTTTAAAAAAACGGCGTTATACCCGGTCCTGCACTATAAGCGGTTACGTTGTAAGTGGTCTATACTGTATTTGTATTTTCAAATACGTTTTTGACTATTTCTGCCCAACCCTGCAATGCAATGCAGCTTGCCATCAAGTGACAATTTTCACGTTTAGGAATTAGAGGAATGGAATGAAACGATTCAGCCATTCCATGAGTGGGAATGGGCCCAGTGTCCCCATTCCTAGGACTTGAAAGGAATTGAATCATCGAAAACTCTAATTCCCCGGAATGAAATTGGAATGGAATGGGGGTGCCCATTCCGCAACACTGGTGTACACCTGTGAGTGATATGAAGGTGAACAGCCCTCTTCCTGTTTTTGACGCTCCTGCAAGTTTTGGAACAAGCTCTGTCCCAGAAGAGGGCTAGAACGCAATGTTTAGACCCCCAAGCCACGTACCATTTGAGACGTTGAGAGTTAATATAGCTTTAAGGAGCCGTAAAACAGGCAAGAAACCAGGTAAGGTGTTCACCTTGATATTGCTGGCGGGTGTACATATGACCTATGAGTGTTCTTCAGGTCTGTCATCTATGGCCGTGACACAAGGGAGATGAGGTGGCCCATTTGGCTGTAAAGCCCCGATAAATTACACCATTGTTTGGTGCCCAGGTCTTATCTCTTTTCGAAGGAAGCGCAACCAACCAACCCAGTTTGTCCCCAAAACGAAGTGTCCGTACACCGGATCCCGAGTTTCTACATTAACGAGACAATTGCATAGGGAAGGATCGGCCCTCCCTCCCCAATATTGTCTATATAGCGGGCATCCATGTTAGCAATACATGACTACATCACATGCTGAAATTCTTTCACTGGTAACTAGGAGGAAATTGTTAAGTTATTGCCAATTAGAAAACCTCATATCTTAGTCTCCTGAAATCTTGTTCTTGTTTCCCTCTCGGATTAATGAGGTATCCAGCCCCCAAAATGTATTCAGATCGATTCAAGATTTAAAAATATACTAAAATGTTATGTTGCCAGGAAAAAAAAAATTGTAACGGAGCAAGAAGTTTTCAGGACGACCTTCTAAGCACCATGGTATTAAACTTCATAGACATAGCTAAATAATTATGCACATTCTGTGTGTAGTCAGTAGAAGATATGTAAACTGAATTAGAGATAGAAATGTCAGGTTTAAAAACAAATTTTTTTCTTGTATTTTTGTTTTTAAAGGAGCTGTGCAACAATTTCAGGGCTTTGCTTAAATAATTTGGGAGTTGCTGTCTCGACCTTTTTGAAGTAAACAAAAAAAAAATGCATTTGCCGTGCATGTCCTAGTCTTCATTTTTAAAATTGACAAAGGTTAAGGTTTTCTGCACCTCTCAACTTCTTCACCATCTTCCGAGTCACATGCGCTGTGACATGAAAGAAGGATGCACGGGGTTCAGGTGAAGCTCTCTCTAGAGCCATCAGTGAGCTGCAAGAACTCAACCCCTCGCGACCGCGTGACCACATGCTGGAGGAATGTCTCATCCGGGTCTGGCCATCCCCGTCCGGCTCTACCCCGTCCTCTGGCTTCTTCGTAGCTTTTCGCGGTAGCAGATAGAGCTGACGGTTTTGATGACCTCGAATAGATGGCGCCACTAAAACTCCATGTAGTAAAGGTTTTTTGGATGATACCAGGTTTTTTATGCATTTATATTTATGTTGGAACAACATGATTTATAGAAAAATTACCTTTTATCGAGCAGACATTTGCACAACTCGCTATCTTTTTACAAGTTTTTGACGTCCCACAGCATGGTTCTTATGGCCACCGCTCGCAGCTGCAGGCTGGGAAATATTCGAAGTTTTGCCTCGTAATTACTGAATGGAATCGCAGCATTTTGAAGGAAGGTGTGTTTTTTGTCCTTTGTGACAAGAACGACAGTCTCAAAAGTGGAAGATGCAGATTCTTTCAACGTTAAAACCGTTGCACAGCTCCTTTAATGGCTAGGGACCCTCCTTAAATACTGGTGCCAGTTGTGCTTGAGTGCTTCTGTGAACTTTATTCAAAAGGCAGCAACATGTTACTCTTCATAGCTTCAGCAAGACTGCATTAATGGCTACTCTTTTCTAAACTAGATGGATATTTTGGTTGGGTATTTCTTGTGTGTACTAAGATATGTGAGGTTTTTGTCTTCTAGGTGATGGAGCTGTACTATTTGGGAAAACCAGCAGTGCATTGAAAATCACCGAGGACATCTTGTTCAGATGCTGTTCTTGCACCTATGTCACAAGAGATCAGCTTGGAATTGTGAGCCACCTGTTTGCCCATGGTGATGAACAATTCAAGAGCCAGTGTCCTTCCATGTCTTCTGGCTCTGGGTCCAAAGTGCTAAGCAGCACTCAAAAGTACAAAAGCAATAAGCCATATAAGTGCAAGCTTTGCCCAAAATCATTTGCTCTGAATTTCTCTCTGAGAAAGCATATCTCAACACACACTGGTGAGAAGCCTTTTAAGTGCAATTTTTGCCCAAAAGCCTTTGTTCAGAATGCAGATCTGAGAAGGCATAATAGAATACACACTGGTGAAAAGCCATTTAAGTGCAAGCTTTGCCCAAAATCATTTGCTCTGAATTTCTCTCTGAGAAAGCATATCTCAACACACACTGGTGAGAAGCCTTTTAAGTGCAAGTTTTGCCCAAAAGCCTTTGTTCAGAATGCAGATCTGAGAAGGCATAATAAAATACACACTGGTGAAAAGCCATTTAAGTGCAAGCTTTGCCCAAAAGCCTTTGCTCGGAATTCATATCTGAGAGTCCATTACCAAACACACACTGGTAAAAAGCCATTCAAGTGCAAGCTTTGCCCAAATGCCTTTGCTCGGAATTCAGATCTGAGAAGGCATAATCAAACACACACTGGTGAAAAGCCACATAAGTGCAAGCTTTGCCCCCAAGCCTTTGCTCAGAATGCACATCTGAGAGTCCATAGTCAAACGCACACTGGTGATAAACCATTTAAGTGCAAGCTTTGCCTAAAAGCTTTTGCTCGGAATTCAGGTTTGAAACGCCATACGGCAACCCACACTGCTGAAAAGCCATTTAAGTGACACAGTTTGTTTACATCTTCATTGAGATGTACATATACCTTGTGAAAAAGAAATCTTAAGGCGTTGCTCAGATTAATAGTTAAGCTCGCCTCACTGAAGCGCTTATGCGCAGTGGGTCTTACAAAGGCCTGTAGCATCCTGCGTCATTTTCTAAACGGTCTACGATCATCGGGCACAGGCCAACAATTGAGGTTGACAAACCCCAAGGGCACTCTTATAAAAACACTGGCAGCAAATAGCCCTTTCAAATGCCTCAATATCTGGAAAGGTTAAGTTTGAATTCCAGTATGGTAGTTTAAAGAGATTGCGGACACAGAGCTACACTGTCTGGCATTTTGTTCCCGAGTCTTTCATTCAAATGCCACCGTTTGTCATCACACAAATGTTTTTGGGAGTAAGGAATGATTCCTTGCCAGTTGCATTCTTGAGGCTGGGCAATGTAATGGGAAAATTTAACGTTTTTTAGGGCAGCTACTCCCTATGTTCTGCATCTGAATGCAAATTAGGTCATGTTTTTGCTCTTGTTCCAGTTTCTTTGCACTTACTTGAGGTGTACTCCTTTGAGGTTTTATCTATGATGTTTGAAAAATGCCTTTTTTTTTAAACCTTTTATGTGGAAAAAACAAACCTGCAGAACACGATTAAGGAAATGTAAAATTCAGTTTTGTTTTAAAAAATAAAACATTGGCAGTTTCAATTTTGACAATTGCTTCTTCCATCATTTGTGGCTTTGCATACTAAAGTAAGTGTGAAAGATCTTTTTCCAAGGTGTTTTTTTTGTGTCCTGTACCGTGCAAAGATCTTTTTTTACCGTATGCCTCGATGGGGGACATTTCCAAGTGTGTGATGTCCAGCACCGCTTTCTTCTGCTGATTAGGACATCGCTAATTAAATAGACCTAATGCAAAATTGCTTGGTGGTCTGACAACACTGAGACCATCTCTATTTTAATCTTGGCAAGCGTCGTCGGTACCGAAGCACGGTGGAAGCATCGAGAGAACCTTTCTGGCAAAGTGTAATGGCGCAGCAGCTGTGTTTTCCGGTTTACAACTATGGAATGTAAACAAACAGTTTAAACAGCCTAACCCAACTCTCTTACAAAACTCGGAGGCCTGTGCATTTCTGGCAACAGTCTCGTCGGAGCAGTGGAGCAAGTCCTACGCCTTAGCTGTGGAATCCAGTGGAGCAAGCTTACACATTGCGTTCGGTGCGGATGAACGTCTGCGATTCAAGACACGTAAACTGAGGCCTTTTTGTTTAACACTAAGTATGTGCAATGCTTAATGGTTTGTAATCTAATGGGTGCTGGTGTATTGTATGTGTGCAGGACGAGCGCTCTGCATGCATTTCGTAGCGCCCTCTGACGAGTCATTGGCTCAAAGGCGTCTCCGACAGCGTCCACGGACTGTTGCGGTAGGTTGTTTAAACTTGTCCACATTCCTGGTCGTAAGGAAGACCACACAGCTGCCTCGCCATCTCACACTGCCCCTGCAGCTGTCTCCGATGCCTCCACCATGCTTTGGTACCAACGGCACTTGCCAACATAAAAATGGCAACGCTCTGAGTGTTGTCAAACCACTACGCAAATTTTGTGTAATGTCTATTCTTGCACTGCCCAGCAGGTTGTGCTATCACTCAACATTGTACCCATTTTCAATATTGCGTAATGCCTCTTTAGGACTTCATTGAGAGAACATGGAACTAAGACTCCCGCACTCATTCCCTTTCCGTCACGACTCTGGCTCCCCGAATCGTGCATTTATACAGCACCTGGTTTGAGGCATCACTCTCCCCAATGTGTGGGTTCTTTTATTGTTTCATTGCTTCGTGTTCTTGTTCCTGGCTGTTGTTTCGTTGTAATAAATGGTAAACGGCTAAATGGAGAAAAGGAGGAACCGTCGTAAAACAATTTGTAATAAACTACTCCCAAATATCCCTGCATGCAACCCAGCATGCGTTGCATTATGGGACCTTGGTCATGGAAAGGAGTGCCAGTGACTTCAGTTTCGATTGCCCCGTTAATGAGGTAACGAATCAGCACTGCATGAAAATGAAGTCGGCATTCGCTTACTTTGCACCCATTCATATTCATGAGAGCCGTTTTTTAAACACGGACATCCAGCGGCCGTAAGAACCTGCCTAGACATAGCGAGGAGTAGGAATACGGAGGCTGTGTCCCATGCATTTCAGGCGGCCTGGCTACCGCTTTAGTGCGCATCGTAACCCTCCCTGCTTAGCGATCATTTAAGAAGCTTGGGTCGTTGAGGAGGGAATGGAACAGATTGATCGGTTCATTATACTTGTTTTATGTGCTATCATAGTTCCGTGTTTTCCTGCACACAAGCTTTGGCACCTTTGGAGCCCACAAAAATTTTGCTCCAGCATTCTTTCTGTACTGGTGGGCAACACCAACGGTATTATAAATTTATTTGAAAGTCACATGCCTATTTGAAAATGGAAGCACTGCCTTTGGCCTAGACGGGATGTCGTGAAGGGAGAATAGAAGATCGAAACTGAAACTGCTGCCAATGGGATCCCAGGACGCTTTGAGCGGCAGTATGCAGCTAAGATCGCTTTAATTTTGCGAGAGGTCTCTTTTGTCAAAAAAAAGTTGTGCAGGCAAATGAGATGCGAGAGGAAGCCATTTGCTCTTGCTGCAGTGAAGATCTGCTCCACTTTGGAGGCTTCGCTTGCCTCAACAACATTGCCCAAAATGCCTTATACAGGGTATAGCCGTTTGCAAGAATGGCCTCTGGGCACTGGCATCTTGCTACTGGCGTTGGTAGCTCGTCTGATAGTCGAGCGAGGATGGATGGATGGATACTGATGGTTGCACCCTTTATATTGGGTGGTAGCCTGCGCCATCTAGCTGTGATGAGGCATACCCACGGTTTAAAGAAGCTAAGCGCCGAGTGGGAAAAGGTTGCTTATGTTGTTGGCATATTATGAGCCCTTGTAGGTTCTGACGAGACTCGGTGCAAGGTCGAGCCTGAGTTTTATATTTTATTTTCTCTGAGCAGAGCAAGGGCTGATTGCGCGAAGTTTGTTCCGTTTGGCTGCCTAGCTCGCTGCCCGTTTCCTGTTGGAAGTACTACAGCTAATTGAAACAATTGGCAAGCTAGGCTACCAAACAGACCGCGCGCTCGGTGAGAATGAAATATAATTCCAGGCTCGAGCTTGCACCAAGCCTTGTCGGTACCACCAAGGGCTTGCAGCATGCCAGAGGCCGAGGCAGTTTCTCGCTAAGCGTCGACCGCTGCTCCCTCAGCGCCCTGCTGGTCCAATGAAAGAGCTCCCCAAGGCCCAGCTGCAGAGGAGGCTCTGCCTTATTGCTGGCCAACGACATCAATACTCACGCTTGCGTCTTACCTTTGGTGTATAAAAGTGTACAGTAACATCTATATTTTCTTCTACTCACGTGACAGCTAAACCAGTATGGCAAATGCAGCATCCCCCAAAGTGCACTTCACTCCATTGTAAACCACATGCTTGTGTCTGGTGAGAGGTTAACTGCACTTGAGACAGTTGCAAAAAGGATGAGCCAGCAGCCAGCAGACCTATATAGTTTGACAATGGGCATCGCATTAAGCTCACCGTGGCTGACAACAATGTTCCGAAGGGTGTGTTTGTTTACCTTCCGGTGAGTCGTTGATCTACTCTACGTTGCAGCGTGCCTTAAGTTTGTCGAGAAATGTTCCTCATCCACGTATTCCGGACGATATTACAAAGGTTGGGGAGGGAGGTTTGTGGCCAGGTGTGTAAATGCACCATAGCTCTTGTATTGTAAATAAGTGCTGATGCTGCAGAACACCGGGATCTGGGATTCGATTTCCACCTCTGACCGTTTCAATCTGGATGAGCATCGTACTGGTGTGTGGTCGTGAATCATTACTGCATGATATTTGTCAAGGACCCTGTCCACCAAAGTGGTTGGTACGAAGACGTCGCTGAGTCGTCTGCCCTTCTCCTGGCTGAAGACATCGCTAGTCTTACAAACACAAATTGGTAGGAGCTCGAAAAATGTGTAAACACCCAAGCACAAAGTGCTTTACGTTTGCTTGTTTTTGTGCGGCGTGCGCGTTTTTCGTCTGCTTTGCACAGCCAAAGAAACAAAGGAAAGAAACAAAAATGTGGTCAGGTGTAGCCAGATGAATTTGGCAGCTCTTTACTCGTCTACATTTTCCCCTCCTCTCCAGTCCACTGGTCAAAACCGCTTAGGTTTCGAGCAGTTCTGTTTTTTTTATTTTTTACTTTATTAAAAATATATATGATGCTGTAGTAAAATATTGATTGGGCAGTCTTCTGACACCATATTCGCCTAACGAAAACTGGCTAAAAATATTTTTTAATAAATTTGGAGTCATTGTTTCATTAAATGTCGGGCCCCGTACATGTTTGTAACTGCAACCTTTTGCCACTGTCATCTTGTTGCCTTATGTCTGTTGTGGGATTTTGCTAGCTACCAACTAACAGGCACCGATAGAGTAACCAAAGGGTTGTCTCAACAGCGGCGGCGATCTCAAAGGAGCCGTCCGACCTAGTAGCCCGCGGTCCCCCCATCTCCGCGGCAATCTAGATGACGTTTAGGGCTACATTACCGCGGGTTGGTTCGATTCGTTACCTCCGTCAACGCCAATGAGCGTCTACCTTGTCTCACTCTCTCGAATATAGCGGAAGAGAAGACACGTACCAGAGTAAGGACAGAGTCCAAGAGCATTTATTGGAACACTCTTAAAATGAACTACTATGTCCCCATTCAAAATGCCCCCCGCGCCCGGCAAGGTAAGAAAAGGTCCTTACCTGGCCAGACGCGGGGTTCCGGAGAGCCAAGACCGGGGAAGCATCAGAGAAGTCGCCGACACACGTCCTGTCTCTTTCGCGGTCACCTGGACGAGTCCCTTCCCGAAAGCGGGAAAACAAGAGGCGAAACCTCCTCGCCTGTCGGCAGTGACTCGCATCCGAGCGGGGGAACGGAAATCGGTCCCCCCGAGAGAGAGAGAGTGAGAGGAGAACCCCCCAAGCCAGGCAGCCCTCTGCCTCACAAACAGGTCGGAGCTCATGGCGAAGGAGGCCGAGCGTTCCGACCCGCGGCCGTTATCACAGCCATCGTGGAAGGGAGACCAGAGGAATCCCCACACTGTAGAGCCAACACCTCCTAGATAAAAAAGTTGTGGTGCTGAATTTTCCTGATTGGACACGACTACAAGGACAGTGTTGGGCTGGGACTTGGGCTCTCACTGATAGGAAGTGTTCTAGTGGAGCGCTGATGTAGCACAGTGTCCAGTCTGGGGCGATTCAGCAAAATTCAGCACTTTGGCTTTCTTATCTAGGATGCGTTGGTAGTGCATCTGCTGGCAGTGGCATAGCAATGGGGGAGGGGGGGGGGCGTTCCAGTTTCTGTGGTGTATGTGGCAGAGACACCTGTTCTGCTGCAGGTCGCTCTTCACTGTGGCAGTCCACAGAAGCTTCGGCCGCCAGAAGGTGAGATGCCGTGATGACAGCTACACTCGCGTTCGCTTGTGCTACTCGCAGCTTTCGTTTGCATTTCTACGGCCTACCGCCAGGATTGCAACATGCAACAACAGCATGACATTCCGGCTTCTTTGACGTCATTTGTTGCCACTTCCGGACCACTTTTGAGGTATGGGCAGCATATACACGTTTGCAAGTCCGGTCTCGGGGCGCCGCCATCTTTCTCAGTTGGGTGCGCTCTTGGACGAGTCGTAATCCGATTACGACGCCTTAGCAAGGCTTCGTAATCGGATTATGATTCGTCCAAGCACACCCCACCCAAGCAAGATGGCAGGGCTCTAAAGCCGGACTTGCAATTGTGTATAGGACACCAAACATACCAGTCAAAGACGCGCTCTAGGCATCGTAGTCTCCGCCAGTTGTGGAAGATTTGATTTTTTTTTTATAAACAAAGAAAGAAAACATGTCCGTCTTTTATTTAACTTATCTTTTGACACTCGCCCTAGAAAGGGTTAGGTCTGTCATTTTTTTTTACTTCTCTGCATTGGCATCTTTGCAGACATTTACATAATGCATTACTAGTAACAAGTTACTTCTACTTAATTACTTGTTTTCGGTAACGAGTCACGTATTTACCGTAAGATACCGCAAGAGTGCCCACCCCACCTTTATTGAAAACTGGGTTAATCTAGACATGGGCACTTGTCCGGTCAAATTGGGCGGTCAACGGATAATTTGCAGAACTTCCAAGTTGGGGAAACGTCAATGGCGGGCACTTGAAGGAAGTTGCCGCTTGTGCTGCATTTCATGGAACTTACTTTTTTAGAATAGGAACAACTAAAGTACATAGTTTCTTTAAGGCAAGGAGTAACGGTATTTCATTAATTCCGAGTACTGTGTACAACGCGGTTTAAAGAGCCTAGTTTTAATTCTGACCGAAGTATGCCTCTATTGCAACGAAGGCAGGTGGGCAACTTGAAGAACGACTGAACAGTATGAGAGTATAGCAACGTTTCTTGCTGAACACTTCACTCGAACTCTTCAGCTGGGAATGTCCTTCACCCAGCAAACAAGCTAAGGTTCGTTGCTTGAACCTTCTAGAATCGTGTACAGAC